GTGATTGGCCCTCCAGGGGAACTGACTGGCCCGTGTGTGAGACAGGAGGCTGGACTAGATGGACCCTCACTGGTCTGACCCAGCAGGGCTCTTCTGAGGTTCTTGTCAGGGGAAGGCCTCGGCCTCTCTGCCCTGTTGTTGGCCCTCCAGAGGAACTGGTTGGCGACTCTGTAGTAGAATGGACCAGCTACGGATGTCACTTTTATAAGGGAACAGGATAGTAATCTTTTGCCATTTTTATTGTGTGCATCTCCTGACTTTTATCACCGCCTTCATTATGTCCTGGCATTGTTTGTTTCCCTTGCTTTCTAATGCTAGTCCTTTTGCTTCGTTGTTGGATGACTAGATGGACCCTCACTGGTCTGACCCAGCAGGGCTCTTCTTAGGTTCTTATCAGGGGAGGGCCTCGGCCTCCATGCCCTGTTGCTGGCCCTCCAGAGGAACTGGAGGGCCCCTGTGTGAGACGGGAGGCTAGAAAGATCAGCGGTCTGACCCAGCAGGGCTCTTCTGAGGTTCTTATCAGGGGAAGGCCTCGGCCTCTCTGCCCTGCTGTTGCTTAGAGACATGGTGGAGAGCGTGGCAGCTCATGATGAAGAAAGGATATGCCCAGATCACGTCTGCCCCACCAGGCGTCTTTCAAGAGCAAGTTCTCAGTGTATGGGGAAAGGTAAAAGTTGGTGTAGAAAGGCTAGGTGTGAGTCCCGGCATAGCTGAGGGCAACACAACAGCACCACCATTTAAATGAGTACCACAAAAACAAATGCATAATTACAAAATAGCAGTAAAGTTAACAAAGCTCCAAACATTGGGCTGAAAACAGCCTTATGGGATGCTGATGATGCCAACGCCCCAAGGGTGCTAAGGTTCTTTTACTTGTGTGGCTAGCTGATAAACCACACAGTTAATACAATCATCCAGGCAGTAAAGGGTAACAAAAGAATTTATTTGAATAAAGGAACACTTAACAGCTCATAGATGGAGCTTGCTTGTATGGTTTTCTTGCTGCTCCTCCTCACTTTACATCATTATTGACATCATTTAGACATGCTTAGTTCAGTTTTCTTTGTCTGGTCAGTTATTAATCACATATTTGACACACAGGATGTTACTTAGCCGCATATCAACTCTTACAATGCAGGTGCACTGCTTATTATGTTGATTTATATTTTTGTTTACATCTTTTGGCTGTTTTCCCAGACTCCTTTTACTTTTGAATGAAATCTCATGCTGAGTTCATTTTTAGTACAAAATTTAGATGCTTTCATTACAAAAATGGGTTTTTTTACATTAATACATGCATAATATTTTAAAGCATTTTATAGGCTTATTTTTACTAAAGGTATACAAAACATATATCATTATAATGACTTTATAAAGAATTAAACTTTACATGATTTTTTCAGTGTTTCAAAGTAGCCTATGGCATAAAGCTCTTGTAGATGCACTGAATCTATCAGTTTTTATTTTGGTCCATCAGAATATTTTTATAAAATATTCAAACCTTTTAATCTCCTTATTTTGTTAAGATATGTTATTTTACTTTAACCAGCAGGACTCGCCCTTTTATAATATAAGTTTTGCCTTTTTAATTGGCTTCTAGCAGGTGTGCATGATTGATTACGTTGTTTTCCTAACCTTTTGGAACATCTCCCAACTTTCTGCTTGATAATTTCAAACATAATTCCTTAAAACTTAACTTCTTTAGTTGACCTGTCCATGATTTATGTTTTCCATGTTGACTGGGGTCCCTACACACCTGGTCAGCCCTTGGTCATTTTCCAACTCTTGCTCTTGTCAACATCTTGTTAGCTTTAAACACCTTTCATTATTAGAAAATTAAAAACTTTAACTAGCTTTCTTCTTTTTCATTAAACATACAAAAACATTTTATCCATAAGCTTTCATTCTCAGCTATAAACATTCAGTGATATTTACTCTTTTTAACAATTATTCTTTTATATAAAAGCACTTTAAAAACTTAGATCTATTCTGCATGGAAAGTACAACTGGACTTCTATTCAACCCTATTAATTTTGACATCCTTAGCTTGTGGATCCTTGCCAGGTCAGTTTTAAGTGTATAAAAATATCTTGACCAATTAAAAAGTCCCACTATCAATCTTAACTCTGACAATTCATTAGTGTGGTGCTTTCACAACAGTCCAGTTCATGTAAGTGTCTATACAAACAAAGTATTTTCTATTTTAGAATAATAATCTACAAAAGGCAAGTATATAGAGATACTGCTTATAGATTCCAGTAGTTCAATATTAATATGTTAGAGTATTCCAAACTGGAGGAAAGAGAAGCCTCTTTGATGTTTCCTCATTTAAAATTACTGAAAATCAGAAACTGAAATAAACTTCTAAACCCACTCTCTGAAGTAGAGAGGTTCGGGAAGGCCTGTGCCGGGCAGGTAGCCCACCTGCCCCTTCCCGCCTGGGAGGGACCACACAGCAGGTGTTAGAGCCCGCAGGCAGAAGAAGAAGTAGAGAAGAAGAGATTGGATTTATACCCCGCCCTTCACTCAGAGTCTCAGAGCAGCTTACAAACTCCTTTCCCTTCCCCTTCCCCACAACAGACACCCTGTAAGGTGGGTGGGGCTGAGAGAACTCTGACACAAACTGCTCTTGCGGGAACAGCTGTGCCAGAGCTTGTGACTCACCCAAGGTCACATCAGCAGGTGCAAGTGGAGGAGTGGGGAATCAAACCCGGTTCTCCCAGATTAGAGTCCACACACTTAACCACTAAACCACATCCCAGGGTCAAGGGAAATGACTGCCACCGCAACCGCCCCCCACTGGTCTCCCCATCCCTCCCCCTCATGGGGAGGTGGCATGGGAGCCCACACAGGCAGGCCAGGGCCCCCCACCCCCGGCGTGACTGTCAACTGGGGCAGACTGCCCTCAGTGCGCCCCAACTGCGTCGCTCCACCGGGCTGTGAGGCCGCCACACCAGGCACCCGGGTTCCACAGTGATGGTGGCCACCCACCCGACCCATCTTGAAACATGGACCAAGGAGTCTAACATGTGCACAAGTCAGAGGCTGAGAGCGAAAGCCCCACGGTGCAATGAAGGTGAGGGCCGGCACGCGCCGGCTGAGGTGGGATCCTGAGGCCGCCAAGAGGAGGGCACACCATTGGCCCATCTTGCCTGCCCCGTTGGGGAGGGGTGTTGTGTCCTGGGAACCACCACTAGGCAGTGGCCAGGCGAGCAGAGCTTGATTCCTAAAGAACAATAGAGGCTAGGCTCCTAAAGTCCACTAGGGGAACCAATAGAAACCTTGGCAGGAGATTCAAAACCCCCAAAGGGATCCAGGGGTTCCCTTGGATATATATATAATTGGCCACTTGGCTGTTTGTCTTTGTCTTTTTGTAGTGTGAAGTACTGAGTAAACACGTGTGTAATGATTCCTTGTTTTTGGGTGTGTGTGTCTCTTTAAAAGTTTGGTTGCTAGGCTGTGGTAGGTAGACTAGAGTGGTTGAGAGATGCAAGTGTGGTATGGTTGGTGGTTGACAGAGAGGGGGAGGGGTTTTGGAAGTGAATCTGGGTGGATGACTATGTGTGTCAGTCAGGAGTTACAGTTACAAGTTGACAGTTGGTACGTTAAGCAGTTCTGTGTTGAAGCAGAGAAGCTGACAGCTGCAGTTGTTCAGTGAGAAAGAGATAGAGAGCTGAAAGCTGATTGTATAAGAGAAAGTTTTAAGAAAGTCTGTGGGTCATAACAGACTGGAGTGAAAAAGTGAACATATATGGCATTGAGTTAAACAAGTGTTACAAAGTTACATGAAAAGATCCCTGTCAGTGAGGGAGAAGATTGTGTGTGATACCAAAGCTACCAGCTGAAAGAATTACTTCCCAGAACCACATAGTTCCTCGTAAGCCTTGAACTCGGCCTACCAAATTAGAGAGAGCAAAAGTAAAGCATAAAGGTTTGGAAATCCTTAAAATTTCCTGGTGGCAGCCTAATCTACCCAGTTAAACAAAATAAAGAACACTTTTAAAGGGAAACTAGTCCTCCCCAATAAGGAGGGCGTCACAGCGTGTTTCTTATGTCATTGTCTGAGTCATGATGTATCGAACCGAGTACTTTACAGTAGGCTAGCCCAATCTCATTAGATCCTGGCAGGGGTCATTTCCTGCGGGAGTGCACAGGAGCAGAGCTCCGGCAGTAAGGGGCTCAGGGGGCGGGCACATGCAACAAGTCCCGCCCCCTGCTCCCAGCAGCCCTCCGTCGGGCCATGAGGAGCAAGAAGTGGCCAGCCTTAAGGTACAAGCTCTCCCTCCTCTGTGAGGGCAGATCACACACATTAAGGTACAAGCTCTCCCTCCTCTGTGAGGGCAGATCTACGCATCCCCCCCCCCCATAGCTAGCAATCCAAAACAGTCCAGTGGCACCTTTAAGACCAAGTTTTATTTAGGTACAAGCTCTCCCTCCTCTGTGAAGGCAGATCTGCCCGTTCCCCCCCCCCCCCAATAGCTAGCAATCCAAAACAGTCCAGTGGCGCCTGAGCGGTGGGTGTTGCCTTCTGACACACTTCCAGTGATGTCAGGGGGTGTGGCATATGCAAACGAGTTATGCAAATGAGTTATGCTAATGAGCTCCTGCACCTCTTTTTCTATGAAATGACCAATGTTCCCTCTAAGCTTTGGAGTCTTGTGAGCAAAAATTCTACTTTGTGAGCTACTGGCATTAAAGCTGTGAGCAAGCGATTTGGCTGCAGTATGAATTAGTTTGCTCTGGAGCCATCCTTCCTGAGCTAAGAGAAAAATGTGTGAGCCAGAGGCTAAAAAACTGTGAGCTAGCTCACACTAACTCAGCTTAGAGGGAACACTGGAAATGACCCCTGGATCCTGGAAGCTAAGTAGGATCGGCCTTGGCTAGTATTTTGATGGGAGACCTCCAAGGAATACCAGGGTTGTGATGTGAAGGCAGGCAGTGGGAAACCACCTCTGAACGTCTCTTGCATTAAAAACCCCATGGGGTCGCCATAAGTCAGGTCTTTTCTCCACCACATCTGGATGAGTGATACTGCTGTTGGGAAAGGATGTTGACCAGTGACCCGGCATGTGAGTATGCAAGAACACATGTATCTATTTTCACTTGCAGCTTGGCTTGCTTATCTGAGCCACCTGCTCTATTTGCTCTGCAAGCCAACTACTGCATTGTGTCTGTTCCTAGCAGTTTTGTCTGGACACCCTGGTCTGGAGTGCATAAACTAACTGAGGGGGTGTTTGCCCCTCAGCTGGAGGTCTGACTCTACCTGTTGTGGGACTGTGAGCGCAACTGGTTCTCCAGACTCGGGAGCCAGGTGCCCTTGTGGTTACCTTTGACATAGACACAGTTGTACTTGCTGAATATTCCAGCAGAGACGAGACTGATGTGGATTCCGTCTGGCGTCTGAATGGAACTCTCAACATGGAACACCTCAAAGGGTGGGATCAACACTTCCTCCTCTTCTGGGTAGAAGGAGAACTCCTTGATGGAGGCCCCATAGCAGGTCTTAATGGTGAAGAAGGTGTCCCGCCCAAAATTCATGGCCTCGGTCTTGTTCAGCGACGAGGAAGCAAAATATCCAAAACGGGCCTTCTGGGCGGGTTCTGCCATGAATCGGGTGCCTTTGACACCACGATACGTTTCACGGCACTGGAAGCTGGCGTCGGCCTGCAGAACCTGAAGGGCTCTTGTCAAGAAAAAGTGGAAGGCCTTGAAGCCGAAGTCCTTGAGGTAATCGTCTTCACTCTTCCCTCCGGTCTTTACAGCTCCATTGAAATCTCTGTACAAGAAGGTCTCTTTTTGTGTGTAGGCCAAGGCTGCGACAGCGTACTCCGCCTTGAAGCCTTCAGGCACCGAGACCGAGGCCTCAATCTCGTTCCACTTGGCGGCCGCCTCTTCCCAGGCCTTGCCATAGACCTCGGACTTGAGGAGCGCCCCCACCTTCTCCTCCATTTGATCCACGCAGTCGTCGTACTGGTCATCGAAAGAGGTGGGAGCCATATCGAATGGCACCACTCGGGCCATAGAGACGCTGAAGACCACCTGGATGAGAAAGGAAGATGGGGGCAAACTGCAGGAGCAAAGGAAGGCGGGGGGCGGGGTGTATGGGGCCCAGAATGATGGTTTGGAGCTTGGCAAGGTGCGAGTCTGCTTACAACCAGGGCTCTTTTGTAGCAGGTACTCATGAGAAAGGAAGATGGGGGCAAACTGCAGGAGCCAAGGAAGGCAGGTGAGGCGGGGTGTATGGGACCCAGAATGATGGTTTGGGGCTTGGCAAGGTGTGACTCTGTTTACAACTAGGCCCGTCCCTTGCTGGCCCTTCCCAACACCACTCAGCTGGGAAGCAGAGGAAAATGGTGGAGAAAATGGGAGGTGTGTCATACTGACATCGTTATATCCGTTCCATTATGACCAAGAAGTGATGTCATTGCATCAGGAGATGCTCTAGCATTCCCCCATAACTCTATGGTTCATTGCAGGGCTATTTTTGGGCGGGAACGCACAGGAACGGAGTTCCGGCTGGCTTCAGAGTTGGCCACGCCCACTACAGCCAAAACCTCTGCGTGCCTGGCTACAGAGGGAAGGCCTGGAGGGCGACCCCCCCGGTGACTCTGAGTCTGGCGGGCTGAGGGGGGCCTGGAAGGATCGGGAAGGCATTTAAATGCCTCCCCGTGCATTCCGCGGCCTGTCCAAGGGCCGGCTTTCCTGGGCTCCCCAGCCAAGGGACGGCATGGGGTGTGGGCTAATATGCTAATGAGTTTCTGCTGTTGGGGGTGGCCTATTATGCTAATGAGTTCCTGTTGGGTGTGACCTATTATGCTAAAGAGTTCCTGCTGGGCTTTTTCTGCAAAAAAAAAAGCCCTGGCTCATTGCATCATCATGTGGCTGGCAAGCCCTCCACACCCCCAAATGTGAATCTCCTGATGGCAGCCCTAATTATTTACGACTGCACTCTAAGACCCATTATGCACAGGGTTTCCCCCTCGCTTTCACTGTGCATTTCCGTCAGGTTTTCTTTGTTGTTCTGGATCGATTTCCCCCCCTTTAGTGTTCAGCTTGCTTTCTGTTTACTGTTTCCTGCCCTTGTGCTGACTTTCCCCTTGTTGTGCTTCCAAGCTGAATGTTATTCAAAAGCATACAGATTCCCTTGGATTCCACCCCGCCCTTTTGCCACCCCTTGAAGGTAACTCCCCCACACACATCGAGCTCATTCCACCCACTCTGTGCCTTCCGCCATCCTCCCCCCTACACCAGCGTACAAGCGCCATTGGTTACTTTTCCCCTCGTTGTTTTAAAATTTTGCTTTTTAAAAAAAGCAGCATGAGTCTAGCAATATGAGACAATGGGCGATTTCACACTAGAGCTGTCTCGCGGTTGCGCCGCCGTTTGCCCCGACACTATTTGTTAATTTCACACCCTAGGCTGTGGGGCTGCATTTGACTCGCGGCTTCGCCCGATTTCCTCCGCAGTTTCGTGATCCTGGTTTTTGAGGATCACGAAACTGCAGAGGAAATCGGGCGAAGCCGCGAGTCAAAATGCAGCCCCGCAGCTTCGGGTGTGAAATTGACATATTTGTGTCGGGGCAAACGGCAGCGCAACCACGAGGCAGCTCTAGTGTGAAATCACCCTATCGCTAGTCTCAGATCGCTGAATTAAAAAAATTAAAACAACGTGGGATAGTTTAAAAGGAGCTGCACAAGGTTCCCTGCTGGTACTGACAGGAAAGGGGCATCAGAGAGGAGGCAAACACAGCATCCCCAGTATAAAAAATAAATAAAGGATTTCAGTGCAGAATGCAAACGGGGGGGGGGTGCCTCTGCACAGGATGAACTTGACATGAGATGTAAAGAGGGAGAGAGAGAGAGACTGGGATGGGAAGCCTAAAGCTTTGGAAACATTTTTCCCTTTAATGCTTTAGTGAACAAAGCTTTTTTGGGGAACCATTTTGTCAGTCCCCAGAGGACATACTAGAGGCATCGACTTCCATTCATCTAGCCATTTGCCCACTGACAGCAGGCAATCTCCCACCCCCACCCCCATTGGTAACTTGAGAAGCAGAGGAAAAATGAGGGAATAGTGTTGATGGTGACGCTCTAGGAAGTCCCCTCAATTTTTGCATGAACGACCATAGAGATCGGAGGGTTCGCTAGCACATCACCCGGAAGTGATGTCACATCACTGCAACCTCCCCCTGGAAGCGATGTTGTATCCTACATGACACTCTAGGAATTTCTCTAGTCTTTGTGGTTTTCGCCATAGAGACTGGAGAGATTGCTAGAGCACCATAGAGGATGCGATATCACATCTCCAGAAACTCCACCCTTCCCAAGCACTGCCCGCCCAATATTCAGCAATTGCCAGCTCAGGGCCGCCCACCCTACTTCCCCTCACAATCACACACATTTCCTTTGACCATCATAACCACCATGGGGAGACCGCCGTTCCATGAGGGGTGGTTGATCAGTCCAGTGAATCTGAGACTCTGCAAACGCCCCTGCCTGCACGGCCACTCCGAAGATGGGATGTCACTCCTGAAGGTGGCTTTTTAGATTCGGTACACTGGCCACCTACAGGGTGACTCAAACTCAGTTGTGATTTCAGTGTCAGGTTCAATCCCCGGAATCCTTCAGCCCCTGCTTCACGCGTCCTTAATTACCTGGAGCCCTCCTGAGAAGAATCCCGTCAGGTAGAGAACCAGGACCGTACGGGGAGACGGCATCTTCCTTCTCCGCTCCTGCAAAACACCCCAACTTGGGGAGGGGAAGGAAGAAAGAGGCCGAACCTTCTATTGGCCAACAGGTGGGGAGAGAGGCAGAGGCCCACCCAGCCACGGAGGCGTGGCTGGAAGACCCAGGGCGTGGCTGAGGATAGTGTCGCGGAGCGGACAGAGTGTCAGACTAGGGTTCTGGAAGACCCAGGTTCAAATCCCCGCTCTGCCATGACGGAAGCCCGCTGGGTAACCTTGGGCAAGTCACATTCTCCCCAGACCAACATGGCTCCCCACCTGACCTACCTCAAGGGGTCGTTGTGAGAAAACGGGGGAGGGGAGAATCTGCTTTGGGTCCCTGTGGGGGAGAGAAGTGGGGTATTAATCAATACAGGCAAATGTGTGCTCATCTGCCCCCAATGCACACACACAAACACCAAAATGCAGACAGGATTCAGGTATGAGAGATCTGGATACAGAGAAACAGCCAAGCTCAGAAGCCAATCCAGAAAACACAGGGTATGTGCCCCCTTTCCCGCCTGCATGATTTCAGCATCCCCCCCCCCACCCGCAAGTGCTGCGCGATTGCCAGAGACCAGCTGGGCTGGAGGAGAAATGCTAAAAGCAGTCACTTTCAGCCCGGTCCCAGGCTCACCTGATCTCGTCAGTTCTCAGAAGCTAAGCAGGGTTGGCCCTGGTTTGTACTCGGATGGGAGACCACCAAGGAAGTCCAGGGTTGCTATGCAGAGGCAGGCAATGGCAAACCCACCTCTGTTTATCTCTTACCAGGGCTATTTTTGGACAGGAACGCACAGGAACGGAGTTCCGGCTGGCTCCCGAGCTGGCCACGCCCAGCAGGAACTCATTAGCATAACAGGCCACACCCAACAGCAGAAACCCAATAGGATTGGCTACATTAGGGGTGTGTGGCCTAACATGCAAAGGAGTTCCTTCTACAAAAAAAAAGGCCCTGGGTTTGGACAACAAACAAGGTAAACAGAATAAGAAGCAAAAGGTGGGTGTGGCTGGATGACCACACTTCTGGTAAGATGGGGGTGTGGCCTAATGTGCTAATGAGCTGTGCTGTCAGGGGTGTGGCCTAATATGCTAATGAGTTTCTCCTGTTGGGTGTGGCCTATTATGCTAATGAGTTCCTGCTGGGCTTTTTCTACAAAAAGAGCCCTGTAACTCTTACCCTGAAACTCCTACAGGGTTGCTGTTAAATAATGGGGCTCCATGGATGAGCAGGCTCGAGTCTTGTGATCAGCTCGACTTTATTTGTGATTCTGGCAAGAGCAAGACAAGATCCCAGAGCCACAGCTCTGTTAAACAACATGCAATTGCCACGCCCAAACACACCCCACTCCCAGTGATAGGCTATTTACATAACATTACTACTTGATTGGATTATTCCAGAGTCCTGGTCGGCTATTGTTCTTGTGCATCAAGCTCAGCCAGACTCTGGGGTGACATACCTGGAATGGTTCAGTCCCAATACGTAACAGTTGCTATAAGTCGGCTTCGACGTGACGGCATTTTCCACCAGGCAAGCTGGGAATGTAGCCTGAATGCAGCAAGGGGTATGGGGGGATTTGTCCCAACTCACCTGGCTCCTATTTCCCCCAGAGCTCGCGCTCTCAGCACCGGGGCTCCTTCGCCCCTGAGTATCTCTTACGGTCTGGCCACTCCTTTTGTAGCCAGCGTCGGAAGGGTCCGAAGGTCAGTGATAAGGTAGCTAGGTTATAGGAAATGACACGTTTCCTCAAGCAAATTTTTGTTGTTGTTGTTGTTCAGTCGCACAGTTGAGTCCGACTCCTTGCGACCCCATGGACCAGGTCACGCCAGGCCTTCCGGTCTTCCGCCGTCCTCTGAAGTTTGCTCAACTTCATGTTCGTTGCATCTATGACACTGTCTAACCATCTCATCCTTTGCCATCCCCGTCTTCTTTGACCTTCAATCTTTCCCAGCATCGGGGTCTTCTCCAGTGAGTGCTCCCTTCTCATTGGGTGGCCAAAGTATTTGAGCTTCAGTTTCATTATCTGGCTTCTTTAATGACCATTTTTATGCTTTTCCACACAGGATAGTCGACATAACAGCCCATTTGAGCCTCCTGCCCTGAACAAATCCCATCAACAAGAAAAGAAGGCAAGGGAAAAAGAGAAAGAAAGAGCAGCACGCACAGTCCACTGACGGGGAGTTTCTACATTGGCTTTTCCCTCAACGCAGGATCGGCCTAGAGCAGTGATGGCGAACCTTTTAGAGGCCGAGTGCCCAAACTGCGACCCAAAACCCACTTATTTATCGCAAAGTGCCAACATGGCAATTTAACCGGAAGACTGATGCTTTACTTTAGAGAAAACAACCCATCAATTAACTTAAGATGATCCAAAGTACGGAAAGCAGTCCCAAATGCTTTCATTTACTTAAAATTATTTGGCAGAGAATTCGACACTTTAATGACGGTCTAGGTCTGGCTGGGGCGATGGCACGCGTGCCCACAGAGAGGGCTCTGAGTGCCACCTCTGGCACCCGTGCCATAGGTTCGCCACCACTGGCCTAGAGCATCCCTGGCAGGTGTTTGTCCAGCTGTTGCTTTAAGACTGCCAGGGAGGGGGAGCTCACCGCCTGCCAAGACACTGGATTCCCCTGTTGCACAACTCTAACTGTCAAAAAGTTTATTTCAAGATTCAGCCGGTCAGGGCCGGCCTGTCAGAGCGAAAATTTAGACAGGGTACAGCGGTACTATCACGTCTTGCGATTTGGATGTTATGCCTCTGTTGATACACTCCAAGATTGTATTCGCTTTTTTTGTCGTTGTCACCCATAAGTGACATTGTAAGCAGCCGGACCCCTCCTCAAAGCTCAGAGGATCCTGGAGCCAGCACTACTAGGGCCTGGACAATCCAAGGCACTGTTCAAATATGGATTCCAATCGCTTAGCTCCATGGAAAAATAAGAGAAATATACTTGGATTAGGAGGTGGTCAGAACAGATTGTCTTTTCCCCAACCTAAAGACATACATAACTTAATGGATTACTCAGTACTTATGTAAAACATCTCCAGAAGACTGCATCCAGGGCTATTTTTGGGCAGGAACGCACAGGAACGGAGTTCCAGCTGGCTCCCAAGTTGGCCACGCCTAGCAGGAACTAATTAGCATAATAGGCCACACCGAAGAGCGGGAACTCATTAGGATTGGCTACATTAGGGGTGTGTGGCCTAACATGCAAAGGAGTTCCTGCTACAAAAAAAAGGCCCTGGGTTTTGACAACAAACAAGGTAAATAGAATAAGAAGCAAAAGGTGGGTGTGGCTGGATGAGCACACTTCTGGTAACATGGGGGGTGCGACCTAATGTGCTAATGAGCTGTGCTGTCAGGGGGTGTGGCCCAATATGCTAATGAGTTCCTGTTGTTGGGTGTGGCCTATTATGCTAATGAGTTCCTGCTGGGCTTTTTCTACAAAAAGAGCCCTGACTGCATTAATAATTCAAGCAAGCACTGACTTTCAAACCCTTTTTGCATATGTAAAATCACTTTTTTCCTATTTGCTATCTCCTAAGAGCAACTTAATCCCTCTATCTTGGTGTCACCTGTCTGGTCAGGGCTTCCTGGGTCATCAGCAGGGGCCATGAACAGCCATCAAGCCATGGCCCAAGCCTTTGTTTCACCCGAGTAAAGCAATCATTACGATTGTTCTCTAAAAGTTTCCCATTAGGAAGGACGCACGCCTTCACACTGCTTCACAGCACAAGTCTTCCTATAAGAATCTGCCCCAAAACACACTCAGTATGTTGGGTGTTCTTGACACCTACCACCTCCCCACACACACTATTGTGGGCTTCTTCTTTTTCTCTCTTTCACAGAACGAAACGCTGGCCCTTTCTCTCTAGCTCCGCTGCTTCTGTGGACCTCTCCAAGACTGGTAAATACCACGCTATTCCTAAAACGCTGTTTCTCCTGCCTTTTCTAGTAACCTCTTGAATGTTGTGTGTTTTTCTGAATGAACCGTTCTTTTTCCTCATTTTCTTTGTTAATAAAAAGACTCTTTAATTTGAACAAATCACCTGTTTATTTTGAGCATTCTCACAAAGACAGTCCTCTTAGACATTGGTGTTTAGATCTCAGTTGCCCCCGCTTGCAGAGACTCCTTTTCCTAATTCCCCTCAACTAATTGGAGGCAGCTCCTTGGTGACAACGTCACCATGTGGGCAATGTTGGGGTGACTCTCTGGTATTTGAGTAAAAACTCTATGGTAGAAGCCAAATTTACCATAGCGCTTTTCCCCAAATACCAGACCGTCACTCAGACGGCACTGCATGATGACGTCACTTCCGGGTCACCTCGGAAGTGATGTAGACATATCACTGCAACATCAGCAGGGCCTCCCTCCTGCTCCCAGTAAGTCCCCCCCACCCCCCACCAGTTGCCAAGAGGGACCTGGTAACCCTTTCTCTGGAGGGATCCTTTCTCAGGAGGCACCTGGCAACCTTCTCCTGCAGGGCTCTTCTGGTGTTTTTATCAGGGGAAGGCCTCGGCCTCCCTGCCCTGTTGCTGGCCCTCCAGAGGAACTGGCTGGCCCCTGTGTGAGACGGGAGGCTAGAAAGATCAGCGGTCTGACCCAGCAGGGCTCTTCTGAGGTTCTTCTCAGGGGAAGGCCTCGGCCTCCCTGCCCTGTTGCTGGCCCTCCAGAGGAACTGGCTGGCCCCTGTGTGAGACGGGAGGCTAGAAAGATCAGCGGTCTGACCCAGCAGGGCTCTTCTGAGGTTCTTCTCAGGGGAAGGCCTCGGCCTCCCTGCCCTGTTGCTGGCCCTCCAGAGGAACTGGCTGGCCCCTGTGTGAGACGGGAGGCTAGAAAGATCAGCGGTCTGACCCAGCAGGGCTCTTCTGAGGTTCTTCTCAGGGGAAGGCCTCGGCCTCCCTGCCCTGTTGCTGGCCCTCCAGAGGAACTGGCTGGCCCCTGTGTGAGACGGGAGGCTAGAAAGATCAGCGGTCTGACCCAGCAGGGCTCTTCTGAGGTTCTTCTCAGGGGAAGGCCTCGGCCTCCCTGCCCTGTTGCTGGCCCTCCAGAGGAACTGGCTGGCCCCTGTGTGAGACGGGAGGCTAGAAAGATCAGCGGTCTGACCCAGCAGGGCTCTTCTGAGGTTCTTATCAGGGGAAGGCCTCGGCCTCTCTGCCCTGCTGTTGCTTAGAGACATGGTGGAGAGCGTGGCAGCTCATGATGAAGAAAGGATATGCCCAGATCACGTCTGCCCCACCAGGCGTCTTTCAAGAGCAAGTTCTCAGTGTATGGGGAAAGGTAAAAGTTGGTGTAGAAAGGCTAGGTGTGAGTCCCGGCATAGCTGAGGGCAACACAACAGAACCACCATTTAAATGTGTACCCCAAAAGCAAATAAAAAGGTAAAGGTTCCCTTGCTCAAAAGCCCGTCGAGTCCGACTCTAGGGTTGCGGTGCTCATCTCCGTTTGCCACTACACCAAACAATGGGGGGGGAACAGTTAGACAAAACATATACACAGAGGATACACATGTGCAGGAGGGATGGTCAATGAGGGAACACCTGTAAGTCTTCACCCACTGGCAGCAGACAAGGAGATAGATAGATAGACAGAGAGAGAGAGAGAGAGAGAGAGAGAACAGCCTGGTGAAGGACTGAACTACCGACCTTCCACAGCCTGCAGTTCAGCGGCTTAACCACCTGAGCCACCGCAGCTCCTACAAAAGCAAATGCATAATTACAAAATAGCAGTAAAGTTAACAAAGCTCCAAATGCTGAGTTGAAAACAGACTTATGGGACGCTGGTGCCGGGGACGGCACCTCAAACCAAAACGGCGCTTTCTTCCAGTCCCACATTTTCCTCCCTTTTCTCTTTTCCAAATTTCAGCAAATGGTTCAGAGAAGGAGACTGCAGCGCCACATTAGAGGAATCCCGGAGACCCAAGGCCTCCAGAAAAGAGCAGGAATCCCCAAAGAAGGATGGGACCTTGTAGATCAGCGGCCCAACGGGTCACACTGTTGTCTGTCAAGGGAAAAGAGGACAGAGGTTTGAAATAATAGTTACTTAATTGTCCAAAGCCTTTTCACCTCCCCCTTTCAATCCAGCTGAGGGGCCCCCAAGATGGCAAACAATCGAAACCATTCAAACAAACTTTTGAAATACAAAGAATAAAAACAATGGGGGGGGGGGAAACCAGTTAGACAATACAGATACACAGAGCATACACGTGTGCAGGAGGGATGGTCAGTGAGGGAACACCGCGGTCCTTCAGGTTTCTTGGTCCCAAGCAGGGGTCATTTCCTGCAGGAGCGCACAGGAGCGGCGCTCCGGCAGTAAAGAGCCCAGGGGGCAGGCACATGCAACAAACCCCACCCCCAGCTCCCAGCAGCCCTCAGTCCGAGCAAGAA